TACATGTACGTCTGGTCTTACCATGTGTAAACTCTGGTCCATGGTCATTTCCTACATGTACGTCTGGGTCTGATCCTAGTGGCTGCAGTTTCCTCGGTTGTATCCACTCCGACCAATCAGAGAGCGGGGGAGGCGGGTGTTGTAGGTGTCGGTGACGTCAAGAGTTTGTGCCGAGAAGTAATTCATTCTGAGCAAGAGGAATGTTTAGTAAATGTCATTGAAGCAAAGATGTTGTGGCTCTACTCCCCACGGGCTCCTTTAGTGGTAAAGGAGATGGCTAAAGCTAGTCCAAATGCTAAAGCTAGTCCAAATGCTAAAGCTAGGCTAAATGCCAAAGCTAGGCTAAATGCCAAAGCTAGGCTAAATGCTAAAGCTAGGCTAAATGCCAAAGCTAGGCTAAATGCTAAAGCTAGGCTAAATGCCAAAGCTAGGCTAAATGCTAAAGCTAGGCTAAATACCAAAGCTAGGCTAAATGCTAAAGCTAGGCTAAATGCCAAAGCTAGGCTAAATGCTAAAGCTAGGCTAAATGCCAAAGCTAGGCTAAATGCACATCACATACATCACAGTAAACTCAGATCCAATCGTTTCAATCTGCGATCCACCTCTTAACCTAAGCTCAATGGAGCAAATCCAGACCTTAGTACGGCATGAAAGGAGTACAATGGTATGGTAAGACTAGGATAAGCCATAGAATATTGGACTTGGAGATTTTGTGCTACACTTCTTGGAATTACAGTATTTTTATTATTTTTTTCATCAGGTGCAGGACCAGACTTTTGCCTGGATAGAGGACTTGACCGATTGTCTTTTTTTTTTCTTCAATAATTGTTTTTATTTATCAAACCTGTACTTCTTTGCATTTGGATGAGATGAACGGTCCCTTGAATGCATTTGTGTGTTGCCTCTGTCACATTCTTGAATTCTTGAATGAAAGAGAGGGGACCACCCTCCCTCAGCCAATCAGCTCTCACAAGGCTCTAAATCTTAATTTTTTTTCGTCAGTTAAAAACAGCCCGTTGTGGTCTAACCCTAAACCTTACTTTTACAAGACTCTTTCTGTTTGCTCAAAAAACTTGGGTTATTTCTGATACACACTGTAAAAGGTGAAGTGCCGCAGCTTTATAGTTGAAATATCAATTATAAAACTACTTCAAAGCGCTGTCTCTGTACTGTGTGGACGGAAGTGGAATGAAAAGAGTCTCCGCTTCAATCCAAACACAAAGCCGGCGTGTGGAGAAAACGTGCTCGAGCTGCCGTGTGGCGAGCCGAGGTCAACGGTCGCGGGTGTGAAATAAGCGTTAGATGGAAAGCCCCTCCCCCCTCAGCCTCTTCCTCCTCCTGACGACCTTGTCCGCTCTGTTATGCACCGACCCCCTGACGGCAGCGGCAGAATCCTCTCTGCTTTTTTAATGCTGACTGTAAACATGACGATAAGAAGCTATACGAGCCATATGCACCGCTACATCCTGCAGGAGAAACCACCGACTTATATGTACACAGGCAAAATGTTCTGGATTTACAGCTTGGGTTCTTCATTCCGTACCTAGGAATGGGTATTGATATACGGCAAACACTTTCCTTTCAGATGCAAACGCCAATATTGTTGGCCATTTCAAATTATAATAACACTTTTTCCTTTTCAATTATTATCTTCAGTAGAAAATGTATGGTTTAACATGAAGTTATACTGGTAAAAGTCTGTTTTGTCTGTAGAGTTTTTTTTTTCCTTATTTGAAAATTACAGGCAAACACAGCGATAGTGAAGACTGTCATTACCAAAACTATTTTATTGGCACTGCTTGTTTTTAAAAGTGCTCTGAGCGTGATGTCAAAGTGGTACAGGACAGAGTGCCCAGAGCAGTGGGGGCGGCTCCTGACTCAAAAATCTTGAAAATGAGGTGAGCTGACATGCTGCAATACCACCCCAGGCCAGTGGGGGTGGACTCGGAATGAGAAGGATTCAATGCTAATGTACGTATCTTCTTACCTCTGGAAAACGTCTTTACCATCCCGGTCCAAAAGTGTCTCTTGGCCCAAAGCTCCGTTCCACATGTGTGTCAATGCTGAGGGGAGCGTTCTGGACCAGTCTAGTTTAGTCGCTGTGGACTTTAGATGTCACTTGTTTAAATGAATGGAGCTCGTGCAGCTGACACATGCACAGATGTGTTTTTTCACATTTTCCAGCCCCCGCGGCCATTTTGAAACTGCCCATAAACCGCGGAAGTTGTGGCACATTAGTTTGAACTACATCCGTCAACATTTACAGTCTATGGTCCAGAGGTGTCCAAATCGGTCCAGAAAGGGCTGTGGCTGCAGGCTTTCGATCAGACCGAGAAGGAGCAGAGCAGACTCCGCCCATTTCCTTATGTGAGTTCAGTCTCAACCTGAAGATTTCACAAAAACTCAATCCCATGAACCGTTGGATGTTGTTGAAGGTCAAGTGTCCTGGATCATGACCTTTGACTCTCCTGCATCAGCGAAGAAAAACTCTAATAAATAAACACAGTGGGACAAAGAAACCTCTGGGATTCCCACAATAACTATATCACACACACACACACACACACACACACACACACACACACACACTCACACACACACACACACACACACACACACACACACACACACACACACACATAACCCTTTCTTTGTAATTACACTTCAGCGTGCCTTCTGTATGACCGTGATAGAAACAGCTGTACCTGTCATCTCCGTCGTACATTATGCCGTTGAAAGTCCGTGCATCGTCGCAGCATTTGTTTTCACACATTTAAACGAGGAAAACAAAATTAGAAACACAGCCAGGGGATATTTACTACGCTTTAGAGTGAGGAGCGAGAGAGAGCGAACTCAAGAGGTGGCGGCAGGTGTCGGTTTTGTGTCTTTTGTAATAAACAGCTGCAATAGACACGTTAATAAAAAGCAGAGTTAATTTCTCTGGGTAATTGAGGAAGCAGCAGCAGCAGCAGCAGCAGTAACAACAGCAGCAGCAGCAGCAGTAACAGCAGCAGCAGTAACAACAGCAGCAGCAGCAGCAGTAACAGCAGCAGCAGTAACAACAGTAGCAGCAGCAGCAGTAACAGCAGCAGCAGTAACAACAGCAGCAGCAGCAGCAGTAGCAGCAGCAGCAGCAGTAGCAGCAGTTACAACAGTAGCAGCAGTAACAACAGCAGCAGTAACAACAGCAGCAGCAGCAGCAGTAACAGCAGCAGCAGTAACAACAGCAGCAGCAGTAGCAGCAGTTACAACAGTAGCAGCAGTAACAACAGCAATAGTAACAACAGCAGCAGCAGCAGTAGCAGCAGTAACAACAGCAGCAGTTACAGCAGCAGCAGCAGTAACAACAGCAGCAGTTACAACAGCAGCAGCAGTAGCAGCAGCAGTAACAACAGTAGCAGCAGCAGCAGTAGCAGCAGTAGCAGCAGCAGCAGTAGCAGCAGCAGCAGTAACAACAGCAATAGTAACAACAGCACTAGGCAGACACTACTTTATTTAAAATCGTCTCCTCTCGAACTCAAGTGGCGTGTCTAAACTTGAAAAATGCATTTGTTCTCCTGGAGTGAGGACTTGACGGAGCCCCCCTGACAGAACAGAAGGTGTTGTGTTCACGTTTCCTGGTTGGTATTAGCACAAAGTGATGCAATAGTTAAGAAAAAAAGTGGTGATTTAATTCAATATTTCCAAACAAACCATGAAGGAGATACAACACAATTTGACAAAAGAAATCAAGATATTATCAGACCATTGAAGCTAAGTGTGGCAGGGCTTGGTTAGTGCTGTGATGGGAGACCTCTGGGAACTCCAGGTACCACAGTGGGGCGGCTGCAAAGTGCTAAATCGCTGATACGTCCAACATCTCCCACATTGCCTAGAATGAGTCTGGTGTGTGTGAATGGTTGGTGGTGGTGAGAGGGGTCGATGGCACAGACTGGTTGCCTCGCTTCTGTCAGTGTGCCCCGGGGCAGCTGTGGCTACACCACCGTGTATGGAGTGAATGAATAATGACATGTGAAGGGTCTTTGAGTGAATGATAAAAACATTAACAAACATAATGGCGACTGACAACTGTGAGGAAAGGAGCTACTGTTTTATTGTTAGCTATAAAAGTTATTTGTACGTCACACATTGTACACAAGGCTTCTGCAAGTGCATTTCAAAACACTACTTTTAGAAAATAAAATTGTGTAGACAGAGAACAGTTTTTAATTCAGACTTGAACTCAACATAATCAGAGTCTCACATTTTCAGGAAGACTAGTCATAGATTTTAGCAACAAAAATCTGATTTGTAGATAAGATGTAAACACTCAATGCCTTTCAGAATGTAAAAAGTGGACTCAATATATTATGTCCACAAAAAGGAAAAGCAAAAGGTAACAAAGTGCAATTGGTTGAAATAGTCTGGATTATTTATGTTGTTATTCACGTCTCATGTTGAAAACCAGGTTATTACAGTAATTTCTCAGTGCTTCGTGTGATCATTTTGCCAATCAGCTCCTCAAAGTGCCAATCAGCTCCTCAAAGTGCCAATCAGCTCTTCAAAGTGCCAATCAGCTCTTCAAAGTGCCAATCAGCTCTTCAAAGTGCCAATCAGCTCTTCAAAGTGCCAATCAGCTCCTCAAAGTGCCAATCAGCTCTTCAAAGTGCCAGTCAGCTCCTCAAAGTGCCAGTCAGCTCCTCAAAGTGCCAATCAGCTCCTCAAAGTGCCAATCAGCTCCTCAAAGTGCCAATCAGCTCCCCAAAGTGCCAGTCAGCTCCTCAAAGTGCCAATCAGCTCCTCAAAGTGCCAATCAGCTCCTCAAAGTGCCAATCAGCTCCCCAAAGTGCCAGTCAGCTCCTCAAAGTGCCAATCAGCTCCCCAAAGTGCCAGTCAGCTCCTCAAAGTGCCAGTCAGCTCCTCAAAGTGCCAATCAGCTCCTCAAAGTGCCAGTCAGCTCCTCAAAGTGCCAGTCAGCTCCTCAAAGTGCCAGTCAGCTCCTCAAAGTGCCAGTCAGCTCCTCAAAGTGCCACGCTGTTCTCCATCTTCTGTGGGTCCAAATACACGTACGGCAGCTGCAGCTTTTTGTTTCTTTTCTCGATAAAGTTGTGCAGTTCTTCAAGATCCGTCTGGAATTCCTTGATCCGTCTCTTTGGAATTTCTTCGCTGAAGTATTCCTCAGGATAATGGCCCAGGGCGACCTAAAGGACAAGACACCAATTCTTGTAAAATAAGAATTAGTCATGTTGCTTCCAAATGGCACGTACGAAGTCTGTGGACTGTTTGCTGAGCAGGTACAGGACGGCCATCACGTGGACGGTGGTGCCGACGTCAGGGAGCGTCTCCAGGAGCGTGGCTTCTGTGGCGAAGCCTTTCTTTGAAGGAGGAGGATGTTTGAGAGAACCAGGAGAGTTGGGCATCCAGCTGCCAAACTCAAACTGTAAGTGAACAAGCAGAGGGAAGCCAGGTTTATTTAAATATTCATTTACCCTAAGCTATTGTAGTATTTGTTACTGGAAGGAGAAACATACAAAGAAAGAAGAAGAGAACATGCAAACTCCACCCACGCATAGCTATTTCTTATTGTGGGTCCACCCCCACTGGCCCGGGGTGGTATTGCAGCATGTCAGCGCACGTCATTTGGAACATTTTTGAGCCGGGACCTGCCTTCACTGGTGCTACCGTGAATTGAAGCTGGGGTGTCTCACTTTGAACTACACACACAGGAACCCATCAATAAATAATAATAAAACCAATTCATGTCGCTATCAACGCAATTGGGTCACTAGTTTTCACATGCACGGTCACATCTTTGGATCATTATTTTTGGACAAACAACATGTAGCTTTTTATGGTAAAATTGAGGTACAGCAGCTTTATTTAAAGAAGTGATGTTGTGCCTGTTCATGTTTTGATGATCTCGGGGCATTTCGGACTTTGTTCTGATTATAAAATTGATATTCAGGATACTTTTGGATTCAGGTAATGGAAGGCTAAATATTTGTATAGTTTTAAGTAAATACTTGCAAAAGTAAGAAATCATTAAAAATGTACTAATGCTGTCCTTCTGTCCATCTAAATCCAAGATGGTGCGGTCTAATTGAAGAATTGAAGAGAGATGAATGAATGTCGTTTGAGAAGAGACTACGGTTAAAGAAAACAACTTCAGATATGTTTCTAAAACGGGAACAATGTTGTGACAAGGTTAAGACTCTTATGTGTCCATTAACACTGATCTCACTTGTCCATTGTTGACAGCAGTGTGTTGGGCGGAGCAGGTGAATATCACCATGGTGACGAACTTCACCAACTCAGGCAAGGTGTGGAAAAACTGTGGGACTCCTAAGACCAACACAAAAAACAATAAATAAAACAAATAATACACTTTCAATGACTTTCTTCTCTCATTCTGTCACCTGAGTTTGTGTTGGACAGGAACCCTTTCTCAAATATGTCCTTTATCCAAGTCTGCAGCTCCGGGTCTTCTTCCACTTCTTTGTCATTGTTGTAGTAAAAGGTCAGGATTCCGTTGACAAACCTGTTTTCACACGAAGGAAGTAAATCAGGTTTAAGGTTCAAGATGATTTTATTTGCACCTGTGGGTAGATTCTTTTTGCAGTTAAAAAAGAGAGACGTGGCACTTATACAAAAGGTATTTGTAAAATCACATTTATAAATACACAAATAATAATAATAAAAGTAAAACATATAAATAAAGAAAACAATTATGATAATAGCAAGGCAAAATTGGTCAAAAGGTGCAAAGTCAGGACTTAGAGTAAAAACCCCGGATGAGAAATAAAGTGCAATACGCTTCTGTGCAAACTATAGCCTCTTCCTACTGCAATCATGATTAAGGTGACTGCTGTGGGAACACAACTGTTCTTAAAGCGTTTTGAACGGCATCTTGGGACTAAAAATCTCCGTCCAGAAGGCAGGAGGCTAAAGTGCAAATGCAGAGGATGAAAATCAGTCACAGCACCTACAGCAGAACATCCCCAACTCTTTACCGTGTCCCCCATTTCAGCAAAAAATGTGAATCAATATCAATTAAGGCTTTTACCTTAATGAGTGCTAAGATGTCATGTTAAACCTTCTTGAATCTGCCCACAATAAACATTTTTTGAATCTAACGTCAACTAAATTGATAATCCATATTTAATAAAATAAGAATGTCCTCAAAGTATGCCCCATAAATGTAAAAGGTTGAATCTAGAATGTAGCTGCGGACTCAAACGATCAGATAACGCACTCGGAGTATTCCAATGTGGCCCCCCCGGAGAAAATAATCTCCCACCCCTGGTCTACTGGTCGCTTCCTGAGAGCAGTGAGTTACTTGTGGATGATGTGCCAGAGATTCAGTCCATCGTCTCTGTAGTAGAAGTTGGGCACAGCCTTCAGGCCTCGGTCGATGATGTCGTCTGGCAGGCAGAGGGAGCGATAGGTCAGTGTGGACGTGGATCTCTGCAGGATGGTGGTCACAGCCTCTCCCCCTGAAGATGCATACTACAGAACAGACGTTAAAAATACTGTGTAGGATATGCAGCAGCACATGCTCACTTACCAATGTGAACGCCCCAGTCTCAGAAATAAGGAACTTCCGTGCCAGCAGGTTGATTTCAAGAGTGTATCTGGTGTGAGGGATGAGAAGCTGCAAAGCAAGAAGGAAAGAAAGCTGAAGAGAAGGATATAATGTGTTTTTTTGGGATGGGATCAAACATCGTATTGCAGAAACATAACGTACACCATGTGACGCGCATAACGTATTCGTGAATGTAAGTGTTCAATCTACACCAGAAGCTCTCATTCCCCACGGTGATCAGTCAGTCTGCCTTTTCATAACAGCATGTAGGATAATTATAGTTGTCATAATTGAATATTTTTGCAAGTAAAACATGTTAGAAGGTGGTCCTCTCTTTTTCACTTAATTATGTGGCAGAGGCCTATAATGCATGCGTATAAAAACTAATACACTCTTTTGGAGGATAGGAACTAGTTGGATACGTACATGGATACATAATAAAAACAGAATTTTCTCTTCACTATTTTGAAATCTACTCTGCTGTGAGTCACTACTAGACAAAGACACTGCACCAACCCCTTGATCTTCTACCAGTATCGTAAACACAAAAACAAGTACAGTTTACCTCAATTTTGAATGGACAAAGGGTTAAATTTGACCCTCTTAAAATGCCAGTTTTAATACTATCCCCTGCATTAAGTAAATCAAAAGAACTAGCATGTTTTCAGTATGTAACATGAAGAAGCACAATGTTTTGAATTGTCCAATCCTTTCACTTCTGTCATTGAAAACATATCCCACATTGTTCCAAGTCAGACATGGGCAAACTTTTCCTCCTGAGGGCCACATTGGAAATTAGGTCCGAATCCCGACAGCCGTCTGAGTTTCCAATATTTTTCTCAGGCTTCATTTTAAAACATAAATGTACTGTTTATATGAAAAAATAGCTCTGCACACAGCACAGAGGGGGATTGTATGATGTTTAAACTGTGGGATGAATAATAATCTTAATCCTATTCTCTCTTGATCTTAATCTTTATCTATAAAAATTGAGGAGGGCTCAGGGGCCTGATAGAAGCATCCAAAGGGCAGCATCTGGCCCACGGGCCGGGGTTTGCCCACCACTGTTCTAAGTGGTGCAGAAGTCAAAGAAAAACACTCCTGAATTCTCTGTCATCACAAACCGCCGTTATCTAAAGCTTCAGTTCTGCAGCGTTGGTACCTTGTAAAGAGGATGGACCCTGGGCAGGTTCCTGAGCAGAGACACGGTGTAGACTTCCGCCAACAGATGTGTTCGCAGCAGGTGCACGTTCAGCTCGTGTTCGTTAAAATAAGCATTCCTCACAAAGGTTTTGGCCAACAACCAGTCGTACTCCGAGTCAGTAGGGAAAAAGACCGGGTTGTCCACAGCCGGAGTCTGTTTGAGCTGTGGAAAAATGTGAAATCTCCTCAAAGTTGGTTGATTTCTTTTGGGTGTTTTGGATATTAAGTCATTATGGTCTATTTAACATTGAAACTCGAGCAAGACTCATTCAGCCATTTTTGTTGATCGTTTAAGGGTTGGGGATAAGAGAAAGCTGACTTTTTGGCTTGTGTAAAACTTACCGTATCGTCGACATGCACAATCCTGTCCAAGTTAATTACATAAAGGGAAAATAGGAGGGGACCTAAAATGAGCACCTGACCCCTCACGTTTGCTTTTTCAAATCCCTGTATGCGCTCACTCGTCTTGTAACTTTGTTGGATAAGTCTTAACCTGGTCGTACCACACCATAGTACAAATTGCATTTCGTACTCAGGTCTGGAGGTGCTCCATTGACTCCGTTAACAGGTGGGAGGGGTTAACTCCTTTTGCAGATTTAAACGATTGGATCTGAGTTTACCGTGACGTATGTAATGAGCCCGAGTGAGTCGTTGGCATTTAGCCTAGCCACCTCCTTTGCCGCTAACGGAGCCCATGGGGAGTAGCGCCACAATTTTTGCCAGCGATTACATTTGCTAAACATTCCTCTTGCTCCTGATTCAATTTCTTGAAAGAACCAGACCGGATTACTTTACTATCGCATTCTTCGGCAAACTACAACTGGCCCGTTTGACGCAAACTCTTGACGTCTCAGACAACAAACTACAACACACGCCTTCCGCGCTCGCTGATTGGTCGGTCAAAATTCAAACAATTGTATTCGCTAACACAGGAACCAGACCCAGACGTTACATGCAGGACATGATGATTGAGCGGAGAGTACGGATGGATAAGGCCGGGGTAGATAAGTCTGTTGAAGCTTCTTGTATTGTTGCCCAGTACAAGAAATTCAATAAAAGAATCTCAACAAAATGTGTTTCAACTTCAGTTTTGCGTGTACACAAACCCAACCTGTGTGTTCATAGTTATTTATTTAAAAGTTCAAACCATTGGCGTCCCATAATCCCATGGTCTATTTCTGGACGCTTTCTCTGTCGCTGCGTCAAAGGCAGGCTGCAGAGACGCCCAGGCTTCTATCTCCAGGCACAGCTCATTAGGGGCTGAATCCTGAGGCGAGCCCAGGCCCTCCAACATGTCCTGGGTCTCACACGGCCTCATGGGTATTTACAGGATAATTGTTTGTGTCAAGACAAAGCTCTGACCTGGATGGCGATGGGCTTGAGTTCACCCTCAAGAGTTTTGTAGAGGAGGACCAGAGGAGCCGTCAGCTGCTGAACTTTTCCATGAATGATGTTGGCTTTAACTCCGTGCAAAACCTTGTAGTCACAAATGAAGATGTTGCCTTCCTGTTTGAATAATTATAGATATAATAATTGCAAAGTCATACAAGATAGTGCACAGCTATTTTCTTCATGGAGCACTATTTAAGATGTCGTTTCTGTATAACAATTAAATTGGACTATTACAATAAATTCAATCAAATTAAATTGGATGTCTTGCAGGACTTCAAAACAATTGACCCAAATTTCAGACGTTCTTAATTATTGGATTACAAGCCCCCAATCAACCCCAAAATCTTCTTGTCAAAGTTCACCCATTATAAACATGTTATACTTCATTATTAAATTAAACATGTACAAAGTTAGTTGTATAGCACAATTCTTATGCAGGGAAACTTATAGTGCTTCAAAAGAGAAAACATTTAAATCATCAATTTACTATCAAAAGCTTTGAGTTTGTAGAGCTGGTTTAATCATATTGGCTGCTTCTCGAGGGAAGCCATTATTTCCTGACCTAGACCACACGTTTAGGCATTCCCGATATGAAGGACCAGTGATGTCTGTAGGACCCGCTGAGCAACTGTTGACCCATCTTTCTTACGAATATAAAATCTGGTCCAAAATGTTACCCCAGAGCTTCCCTAGGGCACAATATCCCACCACTGCTTCTACTCTGGTCCAAGGAGTTCACCTCAAAGTGGCTATAGGTAAAGATCCTCCCCCAGTTATTCCAGACAAATTTGAATAGTAGACACCAATCTGAATAAATCTAAATAGAGGTGCCTGGGTTAAAAAACAGTTTAAACAAAATCAACTTGTGTTAAATGACCTCCATCTCTAGTTTCAGGCTTCCAGCTCCTGGCACGGGCATGTCTTCTGAGACTTGGAGGTTTGTGGGCAGAGAAGAGCAGCAGCGGATCATCATGGGATTGAGTCCATTCAGAAACTGGTATCCAAAGAATGCGTCATCCTTCCAGTTTTTCTGCACAATCACTGAAACAGAAAACGCTGTCACTGAGTCAGCTGTTATAAAGAGCACATTGTTGCATGGAATCCGTAATGTTATTGAGGATCCTTAACTTGACACAAGGGTATGATGACAGTGGAATACTTTATAAAAAGCATCAAAACTCTTCCAGTTGTCTTTACTATCAGCCAGATGGTGCAGCTTCATTTCAATTACTCTGGAATAAACAAAAACAACTGTTGACACACAGTATTGATCAATAAAGGACTTCTCAGTTGTTTAAGCAAGTCATAATGCTGCATAAGTACTTTTTTTCATCCATCCATCCATTTCCTTCCGCTTCATCCGTTGCCGGGTCGCGGGGGCAGCAGTCTAAGCAGAGACGCCCAGACTTCCCTATCCACACACACTTCCTTCAGCTCGTCCGGGGGGACCCCAAGGCGTTCCCAGGCCAGCTGAGAGACATAGTCCCTCCAGCGTGTCCTGGGTCTTCCCCGGGGCCTCCTCCCGGTGGGACGTGCCCGGAACACCTCCCCAGGGAGGCACCCAGGAGCTCCTCCCGCATGACTGAGCTCACCCTATCTCTAAGGGAGCAGCCACTCTGCGGAGGAAGCTCATTTCGACCGCTTGTATCCGCGATCTTGTTCTTTCGGTCATTACCCAAAGGTCATGGAGCTTTCGCGAAAGTTCACCGTGGTAGACCCGGCTGTTGCTGCCAGGCCACAGGCTGCTCTTCCTCGACTCATCAATACCAGCAACGCCCACACCCAGTCAACCAATAACCACCAGGACAGCAAGTTAAAAGCCGGAGACGCCCACTTCCCGATCTTCTGAAGTCTGCAAGCTTCTGAAGCCTGCAAGGTGCATGTCGCTAAACGCACCTGTTCGCAAATGCATGCGTTGTTCTGGAGGGGTCGCTTCTGCTCACGTGTTGCTCGTGCGCGTGGCCCGGCTGTCCTCAGTCTGGCTGCTCGTGGTCTGCTCCTCCTCCACGTCCCTGCACCTGCTGTGGTTCGCATATCCTCACTGCTCTCCTCCTCTGCGGGCTCTTCTGCGGGCTGCTCCGCGGGGCCCCTCCGCGGTTCTGTGCTGCTCGTTCCTCGTGGTCTGCTGGTGCCGTGCGTGTCCCTGCCTCCGATTGGCGGTGCCGCGTTGTCCCGTTGCTTTCCCAAGTTTCCTGGCATGTGAGTACAGTGAGTGTGCCGACCGCGGACAGTTTAATCCCGGAGTCTAGGCTGCAGGCGGCTGGTTTTTTGCCCTACGCACTTGACTGCAGGTGTCAGTCTTCGCCCCGTGCTTGGTCTGCAGGCTCCGTTTTACACGTGTTGAGCTAACTGAGGGACAATGCATCTTAAATGGCATCAATCTCCAATGTCTGAGGGATATAAGAGGAGCAATGTGCATCAATTCAGATTCATGTTCTGCCACTTGCAGTAAAACCACGTTGGAAAAAACGTGCAAAGACTACCCCATCGTGCTCCAGACGGCACACACAGAGCTCTTGCACGGCGCCATCTTTACAGCATCAATCTCATTACTCGCAAGTCACTATTGTTAAATTATGTATTTAAATTCGTCTATCTGCAGGAGGAAGGAGGGGCCATGCATTTAAATAGCTAGGTCACTAGTATTAAACTGGGTAACTAAACTGCAGTTGTTGCATTTCGAAAGTGCAGCAGAAAGAAAAGGGGCCCAAGTGAATATGCAATGGGTTTGAAGTGGAGCTGGAGCTAATGAACGCATGGATCAGTGATCGTTCATGCGTATCTGCCATAACCAAAGCAGCAAGATGGCTCCAGGGGACATCTGTTTCTCGCATGGGAATGTTTCGGATTCGGGTTGAATTATTTCCTCAGGCTCTTAAACAACCGTGGGCATGGTTCTCTGACCGCCGCTGCTGCGGTCCCTGCTGCCTGTTCCCGCTGATGCCTGATCCCGCTGCTGCCTATTCCTGCTGCTGCCTGTCCCTGCTGCCTGCTCCTGCTGCTCCTACTACTACATGTGCCGCTGCTGCTGTTCCTGCCGCTGCCGCTCCGCAGGCTCCCAGGCTGCACCTGTCTCTACGGCTCGGCTCTTCAGACACGTACGTAACCTGGCTCACGGAGACAAGCGGCGCACACTGGCGTGACACGTCTGTTGTTCGTATGAATCGCATTGTGCTGCTGCTGCTTGCTGCTTCTGCTGCCGCTACTGCTGCTATTGCTGCCGCTGCTGCTTCATACTGCACCTGCTGCCGTGCTGCTGCTGCTTCTTTACTTTGACACCTCTCTTCACTGCGCATCTCTTTTACTGAAACACTAAACAGCTTCAACAATATTCTACTGCTGTGGCTTTGATACAGGATTATTGCTGTTATTATCTACGGATGCTGCAACCGCTGCTGCTGCTGCTGCTTCATGCTGCTACCGTTACTGCTGCTACTGCTGCCGCTGCTGCTTCATACTGCATCTGCTGCCGCGCTGCTGCTGCTTCATGTACTTTGACATCTCTCTTCACTTCGCATCTCTTTTACTGAAACACTAAACAGCTACAACAATATTCTACTGCTCTGGCTTTGATACAGGATTATTGCTGCTATTATCGACGGATGCTGCAGCTGCTGCTGCTTCATACTGCTACTGCTGCTGCTGCTTCATACTGCTACTGCTGCTGCTGCTTCATACTGCTACTGCTGCTGCTGCTTCATACTGCTACTGCTACTGCTGCTGCTTCATACGGCTACTGCTGCTACTACTGCTGCTGCTGCTTCATTTACTTTGCCATCTCTCTTCACTTCGCATCTCTTTTACTGAAACCCTGAACAGCTACAACAACATTCTACTGCTGTGGCTTTGATACAGAATTATTACTGTTATTTTCTAAGGACGCTGCTGCTGCTGCTACTGCTGCTGCCGCGGCTTGATACAGGACTTTTGCTGTTATTATCTGAGGCTACTGCTGCTGCCGCTACTGCTACTGCAACCCACTCTTCCAGAAGCTTATCCTGCTTCTAATGGATGCAGCCCGGCTGAGTATGCCGTGCTGCGCCGGACTCGCACCTATGCTCCCAGGGTCGCTTCGGCGGTCGTGCTTCATCTCCCTACTGAATCTTCTGATTCTATCAGATGCAGCTGGCCAAGTAGCTGCGCTGAGCCGTCAATCGGACTCCTAATCAAAGGCATCCATACCTGTATTCTTCACTCTTCTGATCACAGGCTCCCCATCATGCTGCCCATCCTGCAGCGGCTCTGAGCGGCACTGAACTCCGGCTCATCTTCCAAGTACATGTCTGCCCTCCTCGCAGCATCTTCTGCTCGCCTTCTGTGGCTTCTCTGCATAAGCGTTTCACCACTGCTCACTCAACCTTCAATGCGGTCCGAGACACGGCTTTCCCGTCCTATCCTACTGGCCTAATTATCTACTCTCCAACCCAAGATTCTAAGCGTAAGGGCGCCTGCAACATCAATGGCCCTCTCCGGTGTGTCTCTCTGCCCCTACAGGTCTCCGCTTCTACACGGACGCTGCCCCTTCCGTGGGTTTTTGGGGGATTCTTCCAGGACCAGTGGTTCGCCGGCCGTGGCCCGCTACTTTCCCCGGAGCATTTCCTCTGCCCTACACGAGACATTCCCAGTGGTCGTGGCCTGTGCGCTGCGGAATCACACGTGGCAGAGAAAGAGGATCTCTGTCATGCGTGATCATCTCGACGTAGTGGAAGCGTTAAACAAAGGTCGCTCTTCTCACCCAACATAATGTCCCCTGACCATTCAACCTTCATCTCAAACATTCAAAGATCAGAGGCGCCTGCAACACAATATAGCTCGCTTCGACACATCTCTCTGCCCCTACAGGTCCATGATGCGTTACACTCGCCTCCGCGGCAAAAAGGAGATTTTAACGGACCTCTAATTCTCACTCCAGTCAACCTTCCCATAACAGCAACCTGGTTCAGAGCTCAGCTAAGATCCCTACTGCTCCTCTGCAATTTGTCTCCCCAGCTCTATACAGCCCACTCCTTCAGGATAGGCGCTGCCACGCGCGCGACCTCGCTGGGGCTCCCCCACTCTTCTCTGCAACAGTTGGGGCGCTGGTCCTCTTCGGCTTCTCCACCTACATCAGGCCAGATGCGACCGCTATCATGGCAGCACAACGTCTACCGGCTTCCTCGTAAGCTCCCAGCAAAGCAAGTAAGCAATAAGATTCTGGTGGCGGCACGCACTTTCCTCAAACGCTCAAAGATTCCTCTGCTTCAGCGTCTGGCTGAATATGAGCGTGCGCTCATATTCTCAGCTCGCTCAAAGATTCCTCTGCTGCGGCTGGCTGAACATGCGCGGGCGCGCATGTTCTCAGTTTGCTCAAAGATTTCCCCTGCTGCGGCTGGCTGAACATGCGCGTGCGCGCATGTTCTCAGTTCGCTCAAAGATTCCTCTGCTGCGGCTGGCTGAACATGCGCGTGCGCGCATGTTCTCAGCTCGCTCAAAGATTCCCCTGCTGCGGCTGGCTGAACATGCGCGTGCGCGCATGTTCTCAGTTCGCTCAAAGATTTCCCCTGCTGCGGCTGGCTGAACATGCGCGTGCGCGCATGTTCTCAGTTCGCTCAAAGATTCCTCTGCTGCGGCTGGCTGAACATGCGCGTGCGCGCATGTTCTCAGTTCGCTCAAAGATTCCTCTGCTGCGGCTGGCTGAGCATGCGCGTGCGCGCATGCTCTCAGTTCGCTCAAAGATTCCTCTGCTGCGGCTGGCTGAACATGCGCGTGCGCGCATGCTCTCAGTTCGCTCAAAGATTCCTCTGCTGCGGCTGGCTGAGCATGCGCGTGCGCGCATGCTCTCAGTTCGCTCAAAGATTCCTCTGCTGCGGCTGGCTGAACATGCGCGTGCGCGCATGTTCTCAGTTCGCTCAAAGATTCCTCTGCTACAGCGGCTGGCTGAACATGCGCGCGTGCGCATGTTCTCAGCTCGCTCATGCTCTCAGGCCCGCGCAGTACGTCCTGCTATCCCAATCGCAGGCCCGCTTTTTGGGGATCATGCACGCGAGCAAGCGCCGTGCTCAACAGCATCCCGCCCGGGCCTAGGGCGCCAAACATGCTCAATCAATAAACATGCTTAAATCTAATAAGTCTAATGCGTTTTCCTCATGGGTCTCTCCAAGGTGAAATGGAGCTTTCACGAAAGTTCACCGTGGTAGACCCGGCTGTTGCTGCCAGGCCACAGGCTGCTCTTCCTCGACTCAT